GTAGAGGGTCAGTGAAAGAGAGAAAGGACTTCAACGAGATGGATTGACACAGCCACTGCAGCAATGGTCTCAAGTATGTCAAAGATTATGAGAATGAAACATCATATGACAAGATTCAGATCTATTGTTCATAGGATTGCTTTGAATGGCACTTGTCTTGATGCCACCTAACAACAATTATCTCCCTTTCTATCAGTATCTATATCTAATCTCTATCTCTATCTCTATATCTATAGCCATATCATCTCTATCTCTATCTATACATCTATATCATCTATATCTATCTTCTATGTCTATATCTATCTTCTATCTCTATCTCTATCTGTATGATCTATATCTATATCAATCATCTATATCTATCTATATCATCTCTATCTATCTATATATCTATATCTATCTCTATCTTCTATCTCTATATTTGTATCCATCTATCTATATCAACCATCTATATATCTGTATCTATATCATCTATATCTATATCAATCATCTATATATCTGTATCTATATCTATATCTATGACTATGACTATGACTATGACTATGACTATGACTATCTCTATCTCTATCTCTATCTATCTATATCATCTGTTTTTGTCTGTAAAAAGGCCAAGTTATTATTAAGTTAGTTCTGACTCATGTTTACCCCAATTGATCTGATTAAAGTTGAAGCATAAAGTTTTCAATGGCTACTCTTTTGGAAACACATTGTCAAGTCTCTATAAATGCATTACAAACAAAACAGAATATACCTCAAATCCATTCCTATCTATTCAGAACCTATCCGTCGCTGACCCTTGAGTGGGTTTTTGGAGGTTGTACGTTACACAGGAGAAGGATCTTCATTCTCCTCTGGAGTCACTGGTGAATTCAAAACTCCAGTATAAAATCACTTTGTGTTAATAGAGCAGTTCCTCATGGACTATTCTACTACAGATAGTTTTTTCTCTATATAGATTTGTTGCTCTTGTGAACCGTAGAGTCAGAAACGAACCATAGCTGACCCTCCAGCAGGATTTCCAAGGCAGTTAATCAAACAGGAGGAGACTGCCCAGTCTTCCCCCACAGAGCATCTGGTGGCTTCGAACCACATGCCTTTGGGACTGCAGTGCAGCTCCTTGTCAATAGGCCATCAGAGCTCCCACACACAAATGACATAATCTCAGTAAATGGCAAAGGTCTTAATCAAATAACTCAGAAGAAAATAAGTAATATATTGACAGTTTTAAATTTGAATTAAAGGGACCAAAACCATTTTAGCAATCTTCCATTGGCTTTTTGAGGCTTTCTTTTTGGGAAGAGACACCTGTAGAGAACCTGTTTAGCAATCTGACAGGTAATACACAACACCGTGTGAACTCAAATAGCTAACTCACATCGAGTCATGTTCAACATACAGCAACTGTACATCGGGTTTCAGAGGCTGTAAAATCTTAACGGGTAGATTTTACTCTGCTTTTACTTGCAGAAGGGCTGGTGGATTTGAACCTATGGAAATGTGTGACTTTTTAATTAGCAGTGCAACATAGTGTCAACTCCAAGCAATACCATTTTTTCATGTGTTTTTTTTAAAAAATAATAATAATAATTAATAATTATTGTTATTATTATTATTATTATTTTGTGTGTGTGCTGTCAAATCGAATCTGGCTGGTACAAGAGAAGATTGTCCCTCCTCCTTCTCCAGCAGAGCATCTGGGGGATTCAAACCACTCATCTCTGAGATTGCAGTGCAGCTTCTTGCCACTAGGCCACCAGAGCTCACCTCATGTGTTATTTCTACAATAGCATTTCACTGAGAAGCAATGATTAATGAAAGAAAATTCTAATTATGCATTACAATTTTGTGCTTTTCATAACATTTTTCACATATTAAAGTTTTATACGACCCTAAATTTTCCTAGTATTTAAAAAAATAAATGCATTCGTATATTGCGTCATCTAAGTAAGCGTAAGAATCTCACCAGTTGAGTTTTCCTCGAGTTTTAAAGTTTGTCTTATCTGATGTCGTGCTTTTCCTTTTGCGCCCAGCTGTATCATCCCCAGAGCCAAAGTTGTCCCCAGCGGAGAAAATATAATGTTCTGGTGAGATGAGCAGACGGCCTGGTAGAGATCCGCTGCAAGTTCAGTGCTTCTTTGAGCCCAGGGTCTTGAGGACTGAGATCCAGAAAATGCCAGTAAGGTAATCCACAGCAAGACCTTGTCCATGGTAGTCCTGCGTATTATTTAATTGAAAATTTATTACATTTCGAGACAGAATTTATCCTACCAAAATCCCCTGGAAAGGCTTCTGTCTCATCAGAACGTTCTACGTTATTAGAAATAATTACCAGAAGACTAAGGCTACTTTCTTGACCATGTAGCATCTTTTGGGAAAACTTGGCTATATGCTAATAATGATTTTCCTATTCAATCAAGGAACAGTACAAAATGTATTTGGAGGTTTTAAGATGAAATTACAGGAGCAGTTAGAATTAAGGAGTGGTATATTGTTGTTTGGTGCTGTCAAGTATAATTGGTAGTGAGTCTATGAATACTCAAACCTGTTGTTTCCTGGGCCATCCTCATTATCTCTGACACGCTGGAGCCCATTGCTTGGGTCACCATAAATGGCAATATTATCTCTGAATGACATTTGGGGAGGTGTCATTGACTACTCGTGAGTGAGGGTGTATGGGTGATACGTGTTATGGTTTTTAAGTGCAGAAATTACTATATAGAGAAATTACTCTAACTCATCAACTGCCACTAAACCAAAATTGACTCCTAGCTGACCTCCACTGGTTTTCCAAGGCTGTAAATCATTCTCCCTAAAAACCACCAGTGGATTTGAATTGTCAGAAAGGTGCAGTCTTCAAGTCAGCAGCACACCTTCTTATTATGTAGAATGCCTAAATTCTTTAGCTCCCTGTATTCTCTGTG